TGATGAAGTCGGGGGTTTGGGTTTCATGTGGATGGCAAACTTTGTTTCAATTCCCAGTACAGACCTAGAGCAAATAAAGCTGAGTTAAGGCTTCCAATGGCTGAGGAGCCTTTGTACCAAGGACCCGTGGTTCCTAATAAGGGCGTATAAAGCCTTTATCTGCCCTATGTTAGATCATGGCACTGCTATTTTCTATCCGCATAACAAAACGTCCATCTCGAGGTTGGAGACCATCCAAAATTGTTCTACTAGGAAGATGTCTAGGTTTTAACTATAGCGCTACACCCTGATAGATTGTAAGGAAAAAATACTCGGCTTGGAATCTCTACAATGTAGAAGAAATATGGTCTTTTGACGGCATTTAAAATTATCACAGGCAGGTTGTGGTTGATACGCAACTTTCTTCACCTTACTCCCGCCAACAACTAGAGGAGGGCGACTGAAGCCTTGCTCCCTCAAGCCAGATCAGTTATTAAAAATACCTTCTTCACACTGCGAGACTTTTCAGAGCAGGCAAAATTTTCCAAAAGTATCCCTTGGCAAACACCATCGCTGGTTAGTCGTTCAATTGCTTTTTATTTTGTTATTCAACCTACTAATTCATTTCTATTGTTCGCTTGTGAAACATTCATGTGTTGTTGTTAAGTTTGCTCTAACGCTGTTCATTATTTGGTGCTTGTCGCCTCCATATGCTTATGCGCATGCAATAAATCCATATCTTTCGCAACGCGCACTGCGGCGGAACGAGCGCAGGTAACAAACTTCCAATCGAAACATTATAAAAAAAGTTACAAATGTATTGCATTCAAAAAATGGTGGTTATCAAACCAAAGCTGCATACATGCGTTTATAGCCTGATCTATTAACTGTAGAACGTTGCGAGCTCTGAGAATGGTCCATCAAGTGATCAGCTACCCGCCTGCACGCATCATAGCTCGTTGGCCATCATTGTCTGGGGATAGAGTGCTGATTCCTGAATGTTCTCCATCTACCACGTGTCAGTGTGCTTACCTTTCTGGCGGAACTACGCTTGAAAGCATATTCCAGACCAACTTCATGGATTGCCCAAGTACCTCTTATCAAACCATACGCAGTAGACATTACTTTTTGTAGGAGCACAACAAGTATCAGCTTCAAGCCTTTCCTTTTAATTCTTTCAGTGAAATCACAAATGATTCATCACAATGAGTTTCGCATCGCAGTGAGTGTAGTCCGTAGATAAAGACCATGAACAGCTCCACTCGAATAAAATAAGTAGTTTAGATGAACCTGCAGCTAGACGCGATTGTACCAGAAGTGAAAACATTAGGGCGACCATGCAAACAGCCACTCTCTAGTCGAATATGAGGGAGTAATGTCTCGAGCCTTCAGAGCGTTCACGCTTCTACAAAGCGACGTAACTGGTGCAGTAGGCATAGCGAGAGTTCCTGTTCAACTTTTGAGTTTTGTAATGCTTCCAGAATACTGTCCACAGAAGTAAGAGTAATGGATGCTCCGGTAGGGCATCCATTAATCTTCATTCAATGACTTGTACATGGATAACTCAAACGAAGATTTGGGCCACAAAAAAAGACAACAGGATGAGATCAATACAAAACTTTTACGAAACTCATTATTGCACGAGGTGGCCGTGACGAACAGGTATCAATCTCAAGACAGGTCAGTTCTACCGGTTAAGACTTCGGCGGAAAAAATGCGATAGCGGAAATAGAAGAAGGCCATCACATTCAAAAGTTCACAGACATCCAAAGCGATGGCGGGGTTAGGAAAGAGGCTGTCACCATCGACATTGTTTTGATCAGAAGCGAGTACCGTCAGCTACGACACCGCCCGATTTCGACATCATGGCTGCAGCAGAACATGTTGAGAAACTGAAATGAAGTATTACCGAGCAGGATCAACGCGTAATTATCAAATGGCGCGTCATACAAGGAAAATCCGCAGCTCAATTCATGAGCTCAACCAACAATTGGGCGGGAATGACTTCTCTACGCGTAATGTGGAGAAAAGGGTGCGAATATTCAAAGGAAGAACGGAGACAAGTGAAGGCCGAGGTGATGCTCACAATGTTCACTCAGCACACGAAGAACAGGTAGCTGAAATCAAGCGTCGAATGGCTGAGCGCAGAGACTGGACCATTGATCAAGGGATATAGGTAATTCAGGTTTATTCTCAAGGTTTCAACCTGACTGTGACGACTTTAAGCTTGATAGCAACTTCTTGAAAATAAACATGCGTTGTTCGGACGCGAATTGAAGGATACAGTCTTGTCTCTCATGTATTCACGAGTCTTTGTCATGTGAAAGCTAGACTGAAAGGCTGTACTCTGTTTGAAAATCGTGAACGTGGCGCGATTTGGAAGGATATTAAAAATGTGCAAATGTGTATATTCGTAAGGTATTGCATGTTTGAAAAACGGGCTTCTCGGCCGTCGTCTACACAAAGGCACCATTCTCGATAAGAATGCTTTCAAGACTTCATTCTGTGACGAATTAGTGACCCCTTGAAATGCCCTGTGGGTGTTGTTGGGTCTTGTTGAAACGCGCTCGATAAGGACTCGAAAACAGGCAACGCTGATGACGACAATCAAAATGAGCTCTACATGGCCGTCAATCGCGTCAACTGCTGAGTGTTTTCATTGCTATTTGTGCACAAAAGTCTATTTGGAGCGCATTTAATGAAAATGCAATTGAACGATTGTCCAGAACGCCCTCTTCAGAGGTTTAATTCAGTGGTACATCTTGGGCTTGTGGATGTTAGAATTGAAATGCTACAGCAGCACAAAATTATGATTACATACAGGGTGTCCCAAAATTATTGACGCCCATTCATAGCGAAATATTTAAAACTTCTCAGCTGCGAAAGACAGTTGAATTTCTATGCACGATAGACAACAGCATTTGCTACAACATACTACAATCACATTTCGAAATACCCCCCCCCCCCTTCCCCTTCCTTTAGCGCGGATAGAGGCCCAAAGTTTGCTCTCGACCTGATCGCATGTGACACGCAGGTATCCTTCTCCATTTCTTACCAGCCGTTCTTCATTCTTGCTTTCTAGAACTCCGAACTAGGCCTGCAAACTCGACAGGTCCTCTTCTAATCAGGGACCATACGGGGCAGTCAAGTGAGAAAGTTCTAGAAAATAGAATGGCCATTACTTTTCACCGATGAAGTCGGGCCGTCGGCACCACTCGCAAGCTTGGCTCCGTGGGCTGGAGTAGTGTCCTGCTGGAAGGACTACGAGATGTTTCAGGAAACGCATTCGGATCAGTGTTTTCTTACGTCCATCAGTGCGCTCTTTGAGCACTGGTCTTGGTCAAGTTTCACGCCGGAAGAAATCGCGAGCGTCTCACCGTGCCAGTGATTTCTTCAGAAACATCATTTTACTGTTCTTATAGCAACTTTTTTGTGAGAGATTGCACGCTAGATGTCTCTATCCGGAACGCGAACCTCTTGGATGTTGAGAGATAGTTTTATCGTGAAAAATTTTTTAGCCAGAGAAAACGATGAAGGGCTGCGTATCGTCATCCAAGTGGGTCTGTGCGACTTTCTGCATTTTTTAGCCCTGTGGTCTCCGTTGAGATCGGAATTGAAAAGAAATTTCTGCATACCTTCATCGCGATAACTCCGGTAAACCTGCCCGTTGACTTCCTTTTATGGGTCACCCAGGACTCCGACCGATTGGCAGACGGACCATTTTAATAGTCCTATCTTCAGAAGCATTCTACCTTTCTACCTTTCCTGGTTTCTAATTAATTAATTCAATCTTCTTTTCTATATCGTTCAGTAACCTTCCAGACGGTTATTATAAAAATCTCATGAAATTCCATAATGCCCTCTCGCGTGTCAATGACTGCAAGTGGCATAAAATGAGCCTCCTCCATTCAAAAGATATTGGGACTTTCCTTCAGCAACCATGCATTTTGCAAGAAAACCTCCTTATGCAACTAACTAATAGCGGTTAAGGGGATATGACAAAATACACCAACCTTAGAAGTATCTGAATTTTGGCGCCCATAATTTCGGGACACCCTGTATGAATTCAGAATCTCTTCCTAGCTCAAAAATGTGTTGAAAACTAATTTCTGGTTGTTGTTCTCGCTTGATATAATTTTTTAAAAGCCATCATCTAGGTTTTCGTATCGACTTTCCTATGTGTACGAAACTGAAATACTTTCTTCTGAAATGAGCGGATGTTGAATTCAATTAGTTTGTGAGTCAGCACAAATGTCATGCAAACTTCATGGAAAGTTAAGTAATTTCTCTGCTTTGGGTAGTCAGACTTGGCAAATCAGTTTATTCGATTACAAGACATTTGCTTTTCTAATAACCAGGAGCAGTGCGAGGAGGTGGGCAGTGGTCACAACCTCCATCTGGTCCTTTGTATCCATCTTCACCGTGATGACCGTCTTCGCCATTGTGTCCGTGCTCGCCAGGTTTTCCAGGGTCTCCAGGCTCTCCTGCGTGACCGTCATTACCAGGCTTTCCAGGTGCTCCCGGCTGTCCATCAGGACCAGGGGGACCTGCAGGGCCTGGAGGTCCGGGTGGTCCTTGTAGGCCTGGCATCTCCATCATCTTACCAGGTGCTCCAGGAGCGCCTGGATTTCCAGGTTTGCCATCGTTTCCAGGAGGACCTGGTGGTCCCATAGGTCCTGCACCGCCTGGGTTTCCAGCATTTCCAGGCTGTCCATCGGATCCAGGGTTTCCAGGTTGGCCCTTACTTCCTGGATTTCCTGGTGGGCCAGGAGGACCAGCCGGGCAGTTGAAGCAAGGAGTATATGCTGGAGATGGGGTTGGTGGTGGTCCGTCAGGTCCATCTTTGCCAGGCTGTCCTGGAGCTCCGTCTGATCCGGGCTGTCCATCTTGACCAGGAGGCCCGGGTGGTCCTGCTGGAGAGACGCCGCACCCGCAGCATCCGCCACCTGCCTGACGCGCTTTCCTGGTGGGTGCGGCCAGAGCCTAAAATTGGAAAATTTTTTAAATCAGAACACCTTTTGCAGGAAAAATAGTTAGGCTACCAAAAGATTACCTGAGTACGGGTCACTTCTCTCCAAATGTTCCCAGAGCGAGATTTGCAAAAATCTACTTCGTTTTGCATAACTGACTGCATGTGCTGCATGTAGTTGTAGAGCATTGGCACCGAGATGACGCAGACGAGAGTAGCTACGGTGGAGAGAGCTACACCGGCAAAGGCGAATCTCCTCAGAGAGAGAGCCTCCGATTCCCAGTTCTTCTCGTTGTACGTCATGGTGTGAAGATCACGAATCCCCTGTTCCTTTTATAGGGGATTGATGGCCGTCACCTTGTCGGAAGGGACAATCAACAACTATTCAGTTTTGAGTTCAACACTTCTATTGAAGGTCACATTGAGATAAAATCGAACTAAATGCTGCTAAGATTCGATTTTATCTGCTTTATATTTGTTTAATGAATTACCAAAACAACTGGGACTTTGATCTTTTTGAATTGCTGCTCGAAGAATATTGTGAGAAATAACTGGGAACTAAAAAAGGTTTCACTTCAATTGTCGATCACCTTCCAGTTACTTGCTATGTTGGTCATATCGTATAGTTGTAATGTCATCATACAAAGCTCTACAATCTTCTGCTCTTGATGCCTTTCTTATCCCCATACCTTCTATCAGCCCCACCAATTTTCTCCTTTTTACAAGCTCGTTAAAATCCAGTTATGTTGCTTGCGAAACAAACGTTACTGCGAACAAATCGTAAAAGATTTTAATGACAACATCGAAAAGAGCGGGTGGCTCATGGGAAGTCGTTGGAATTGGAATCAATTCGGATGAATATACCTGTTACTTGAGTGCAAGATCAATACCGCGTACCACAAACACTTTATAAGTCCGAATGCATAGTTAAACTAGAGCGTAACGCTGTTTCCGAAAGGGCTTCGGTCTGTAGGTGTTTCTAAACTGCTCCCAAACTACTATATAAATATAACAACGGTTGATACAATTAAACAACGGTTGGTTTGAGGGTAGCGCACAGGCCCTTGTGAGCTTGAGCATATGTCCAAATGTCCTTTTGAACATGCTGTATCATTGTAACAATTAAATGACGTAGGGCTCAGCTTCAATCTTCTATCATGCATCGTCATCATGCGTGGTTTTGTAGTTGATTAAACTGAAATAAACTTATCCAGCTCCGAATTACTTTTCCCAGTTCGACCCTAATTGGATGGAATTTAGCTCATGCTCATATTTTAAGGTTGAGAAAGATTATGTTGTTACATTAGATATTTGCTTCCTGGTTTACAGATCCCGAAGAAGGGGCTGGCAGCCGAATTGTCAGCCTCGGAGGCTAATGAAGCATACACTGAAAAGAATGTTGTCGGTGAGCAGTGCATGATTTTTTCGGGCACGTTGCCTTTTCATCGAATCCTTCCTAGACGTGCCAAGAATCAATTACAGGAGGTTAGAGAATGTGTAAATGCTTGTCATCAGGAAGATGGCAGAAGGGATTTTTGCATGGCGAGATGTTAAAATTTATTTTGAATGTCCTTATGCAGTTTCACTGGCACACACTTTGACAAAACGAAGGGCCTAATTTATACGGGTTATAAAGTTTCATAGAGTTAATCAATCTCGGTCCTTGGATACGCCCTGCATCCGAGTTCCATTCGGAATTGTAGTCGCGTTGTGAAGCATATGTATTCGGTAATGAGTTTCAGTGGCCAGCCAATATGCAAAATCAATTTACACATTGGCAGACAGAACTGCAGACAATTTTCGCCCCAATCGACCGACCGTGTTGGGATCGAAGGTTCAATTGACCTAGCGACTATCAAACTGGGTTCCGATCTCTGGAAGCTACTGTTACGTTTTTACTTTTCGATGCTGCACGAAGTTGTCGCGAAGGAACGGAACTATATTTACTCAAGATCTTTATCTTTATATTTATCTTTTAACAGTATTTATTTCATCGTTCAGTCTCCACCGTCATGATGGTCCCTTCACATGAACGCGGAAATGATTTGAGGTCATGCAGACGTCAAAGACAGGATATTTACCGTTCTTGAAAAGTCTGACAAGCCCCATGTTTGATACTGCTGTAAAGGTCTGTGTTGGAAAGGATAAGCGAAAAAACATTGAGAAGCAAAATATTAGGTTGATGCATAATTATTGCGGATTTTTTCGCAGCTTTTTTTCTCCCGAAAGTGTTTGACTATTGAGTTCGGGTTTTTTCTAGAAATGATCTACTTGATTTCCTCTACAAGGGTATACTCAAGAGTCCATCCGCATATTCGCGAAATTAGGCTTAACTACTTCGAGAAAGATTGGAAGGTGGCGCACTCATTCCGCGAACTCAGTAACTTTTCAGCG